ATTTCAGAAAAAATGAAACTTTTAAAGGAGTATTTCATTTTCAGACAAATAAGAATCAATATTTAAAAACACAATTATCCTTCTAAAGATAATGCAACAAAATTCATCTAGTATCAAATAGGAGCTGTATTTTATTCCATTTTATTTGTAAATCCTATGTTTTGATAAAGTACATGTAGCAAATGACACGATATATCAACATATTTTAAAATGTCTTATGTTGTACAGTCATGAATAAAATACAATACTATTCTAGGCTTTCCATAGTTTAAACATTTTACTTTGTACTTTCAGATGCATTTTAAAAAATAATAATAAAAGGCGAAACATCTTGGTGCTGACGCTGTAATCCTGAGAGATGAAACTAAACATTATTCGTAGAATTTCGATGGCTAAATAGTTTTAATTGTGCCAATTGTCAACGAACTATATTTCAAGCAGCAATAATAAATATTTTAAAAGACTCCATGAGATTTCATTCCATATTATAGAAAATGTATTTATTTTACTTATATGTAAGATAGCAAGCCTTGATGGACCTATTTCTGTAGAATAATATTGAGCTATAATGAGTTTTCTGATTTCCTCTGACTCTAACACCTTTACTCTGATGATGTTGTCACAGGATCAGAGTTGATGCCCAAAGCTCTATCGACCAGAATAGTTGGAGGAATCTGGTGGTTTTTCACCCTAATCATCATTTCATCCTACACCGCCAATCTGGCTGCTTTCTTAACAGTAGAGAGAATGGAATCGCCCATAGACTCAGCAGATGACCTGGCAAAGCAAACCAAGATAGAATACGGGGCAGTCAGAGACGGATCAACAATGACCTTCTTCAAGGTAAGAGCCTAACCATTCATACTGAAGTAGAGAGGGATACAAAAGAAAAATCATCTCCCCTGCCCCCCCAAAATGTTGGGTAAGTTTTATTGAAATATAACTTTCAGTGACAATCTAATTGTAATGAATCCCTATGTTCTAGCATGCTGCATCAAGCAATCTCTTTGGTATACAGCCAGATGTCTTTAATATATAATACTGTAACCCACAGATTGATATCTTTTACGTTTATACCAGAAAAGAAAATCCCTCACTGTGAGTACAATTTAACCACTCATTAATCAGTTATTAACTCGTAGTGCCAACCAGATCAAGACTTCTTATTCTGAAATGATGACAACCAGAATGCTTGAATACCACTATATTCTATTTGTTCTGTACAAGAAAACATGCACAAGATGGAATTATGTGCAAACCTAGAAACCAATTAAGACAATGTCATGGTCTCTGGTTAATCGTGCTGTGTGCACCAATGAGGAATCGTGTTTCTGGTCATGCCTGAAGTGCTTCCTCAGCCCTGAACACCTTCTGGGACATGAAGGGAGTGTTAAGTTGGAGTGATTTTAACCTTAACATCAAGTGCATTTCATTGTTCAGATCTTTCTAGTTAGTTACACAGGGTAATGAAACTGAGTTCTTTCTTACTTATAGATTAAGTCTCAGTATATCCATTATCAAATCTCACACACCATTGTTCCTATTTTTAAAAACGGTTTTAATATAGAATACAGATCATGCTGCACTGATCTTATGAAGAAAATAAGATGTTCAAAGGCCAAGTGACTTTCTCAAAAGTGTATGCCTTGGGATTAATCAGAAAGCGCTCCAGGTCTTCTGAAAAGCACTATGAATAAAGGAAACAACTGCAAGCAGAATAAACTCTAAAGAAATCTTTGTTAGGGTTTTACACTCAGATGATCAAAACCGAAGTTGTAATAGCAGAGTTGAGTAGAATGTTTTGATTTGTGACAAATTGTAGTTTACATGCAGAAACAAAGGTAAAAACACATACACTTTTTGTATAATAGTATTTGTTGGTAAAAATGACCACCACCTGCAAAATAAAGTTTGATAATTAATAATTATGATAAGACCTGTTGTATTAAAAGCGTATTATGTAGAGAGTTTTATCAAAAAGAAAAAACAGGGTAATATAACAAGCAGAATTTATTTTACCTTAAAAGTATTTTTAAACAGTGTATTTTAAGATTATGTCATTGGTTTAATTAATATGCAAATACTAGGAGTGTCATCTTCATTGGTTAATGATGTCTTAAGAACAACTACTTCTCAATATATGACTTTGTAAGATTACGGATCTATTTTCCTAAAATACAGATACAGGCTATTCTTGGGCTGCTGGTAAAAGAACCCAGGGTAAAGTGACAATGCCAAAGTCAAATCTGTCATTTCTGCAAAATTATTAGAGATGTTTAGCTCACTAACCAATGTCATTGAGCTTTAAAGTACTGTGAAATGGGCAGCCAGCAGTGGGGAGACTCTGCATGCTCCGAATGAGCACTACAAGCACAGACGGAGAGGATCCAGGCTAGCAATTAGAGAAGCAATAGACCCTACCTTGCCATGGTACCAGGTATCCAGGTCCTTGCAAAGCATCTCTCCAATTTAATTTGACTTTGTTGTACTTGGGTATCTTTAGAACCAGAGAAGACTGGTCCTCATTTTTCTCCATAGCACTCTGCTGACTGCATTATAGTTGCTCTGGAGAATGCCACAAAACAGACATGTATGCCTCTCCCCCAGAGTGTTTTCAGAGAAGGTACCTGCTGACTACATGGTCCTGAAAACAAGGCAAAAATAAAGTTGACATCTCAGGCCACCAAGCAAATGGTGAGGCCATTAGCACTTCAATTAAGCAGAATGGGACAAAAATACAGCCATCATCAATAAAAACACCATCAAGGACTACACAAGAATCCTGAATCGCACTCTGTTTCGAATGTTCTACGTGTATCATCTTACTTCATCCAATAAGGGACAAGTGAGAAAGGAATACTGAGATAGCATGAGGAATAAAGGGCTTAAAGAGCCTATGTAAGTTACCCAACAAAATCAAGCAAGGGATCAATGGATCAACTTGCAGAGAGTTTCAGAAAGTAAGTCCCTGAGGGTAGGAATTTGGTCTGTTTTATTTGTCAATATTGAAAACAATGCCGGACCCACAGCAGGGATTCAGAAAATATGTTTTTAATAAGCAAGCAGTTTCATAAATGAGCTCTGATAGAGACGGGTTCTGTCAGAAACAGAAAGTGAAGAAGAGAGGGGAGAAAGTGTGGGAGGGAGAAGGGAGAGGCACAGACCCCCATGGGAAGCAACGCTGCTGCCAAACACTTTATTTTTCAAGTTAGCTTGTGGCCCAGCAACCCTGTTTATCAAGAAGGAATTTATTTGCAAAAGGAGAACAAAGACTAAATCCGACTTAGTTTTCCCCATGAGGGAGGCAGGCTGTCAGAAAGCTTCGGAGTGGTATATATACACTCAGAGCTCTTAAACTGGATGACTCCACAAGGAAAAGGAACATTCCAGCCTTAAGTCTCAGTGTACTTGCACCTGAGACTGACAAGTCCCTGAGTGAGGGCAGTTACAGTCAGGGGGCTCCGTCCAGACCTGCTTCACATCAATACTTCACCTTCTCGGAGCCTTCTGGCCCCCCTTCCTCTGTCTCTTAAGACAGTAACCCCCCAGGAGCCGCAAAATGACTAAGGACTTGGGTCAGCCTCTGCTGCTTTTCCAGGCCATAACAAGGATGCTATGGGAAGTGGAGCAGCCAGGATTCAAACCAACACCCCTATGGAATGCCAGCACCATGGGCAGAGGCCAACCTTACACACCACCACTCAAGTCCAAAGATCCAGAATGTTAAAAACATTCAAAGACTTTGGCAGTTATAAACTCTAATCCATGGATACTGTTCCTGGGCCCATTTTACTTTATTTATTTGCGAAAAGACTACTTTTCAGATAGGAATTTAGCTGAGAAACTGAGTGAGAAAAATCAGCTTACTTCAGCTCAATTTATAATTTCTCCAAGATACCCCCAGCCCTGAAAAAAACGTTCTAAGGGGGGAAAATATAAAACCCTGGTGCAAGGCTTGAAGATCTGAAAAGAAACAGGGAGACCAGATGCATGAGTGCCTGTCACCTGCAGTGCAACAGGTGTTTAAGAATCATGAATTGGGTAGACAGAGGAAGTGGTGAGGACATAATAAAACAGAAAAAATGCTCGTGAGCCAATCCAACGACAAAATCCTCATGTAAGAAATAGTTCTGAAAAGAAACCTGCCTTATAACGAATCACTGTCTTCCCAGCCTCAAGCAAGAGGATTACACAGATTAGATAGTGATTCAGTCTAAAATGACTTGGATAAAATAGGTTTAAAAAAATTATAGCAGACGTGTCACTCTGGCTGTCACGGTCTGGAGACATTGGAACAGCTCTGGGAATAAGGAACTCTAGCCTCTAAAATCGCCTTTCCAGGAAGTGGTTAAGAGGCTATAATCACCCTCAAAGCTGTTCTAAAGGGTTGCTGGGCACTGCAGCTGGAGGACTGGAGTGCTAAGTTACCCTGGGCAGGAAGAACAAGAACTCAGACAGAAGTAAGCATTTGAGGAAACACAACATGAAAGAAATTGCTCTGCATACAGAGTCACATTCTGCACAACTGCTATTTGCTTGAACCTGAAAGACTCGGCTAATTTTACCATCAGTGTCAGAAATGTTAAGTCTCTATGTGTTAAAAACTGTTTGAGAAGAAAGCCATGAGGTCAATTTAAGTCAAGCTTTTTCAAAGCCTGCTGTATTACCCATAATGGACCTATCTATAACTCTATAGACAGGAAGAAAACATTAAAAAATATTTTAGCAAAGGTGTTTAAATCCCACTGAGGGAATTTTCAAAAGGGAACCCATGAATTTTTAAAACCTTAGAGAATCTGCAAATGTCATAACTTTCCATCAGTTCAGGATAAGAGCATAATCGACTGCAATGATCATATTTTATCCATTCGAAAGGCAGAGGTCTCCCACTGGACTGTAAATTCTCTCCGGATAGCTTTCCTTCGGAGTACTTTTTCTAAATTAAATCATATCTTTAAATCATATGTAAATGTATTATTTAGTGAGATAATACATTTAAACATATAGTAAAGGAAGTGGTGGTTTTAAAGCAACTGTCTTCCTCTGACACAGCCCTTTTCACAAGCTTGCATTTCAACACAGCTGCTTTCCAGGTTGCTGGTGGTTTTAAAAAAAAATTATATTAAATTAGAATTTACAGAAAGGAAAAAAAATCCAGAGATTTAAAAAGGAATATGGTAAATATTTTGCCTAGTCCTTATGCACGTATTTGCCACATTTGCAAGATCAAATATCAATAACTTATTCCCAATATGTGTGGAAGTACATGTAGTTATATGTAAAAGCAGACATATATATTACATGCATTTGTATGTGTATGTATGTAATCATCAGGTATGTAACTGTGAAGTAGAATTGCAGTTATTCATTCCTGTGAATGGTGGGATCTGCAACTTCACTATGGCAGCCATATATATATGTGTATATATGTGTGTGTGTGTATATAACCTCGTGGAAGAAACAATGTGACAAATTCTGTTTATCTCAATAAAATGAAGCATTACAAGAACCTTTGTATAAAAATCAAGGTTCTACCAACCTGAAGACCATACAGCACTCCACAATTTACACCTACTTTATATCTTGTTTCAGAAATTCCACAACTGAATATGTTTTTACTCACTGAAAGGAAAATTATTGCTAAAAGGAAAGGAAAAGACATGAATACTATTCACATTTTCCTCTAGATTCTGTTTCACTTCACACAACACTGTCTACATTTTTATCTAAAGCCCTTAGAAGCCACGTAAATTGTTTTCCATACATTGTGCAATTACTGAAAGTGTTTTTGCAGCTCCAACTATAATGGAAACATATGCAAACTACTCATTTTGATTAGGCCTTTAGAAAGTTTGATCAAAAGTTAATCAAAGCAAGAGTTAGGTGTCCTCTTCATTAAAATAGTGAACTTTCTGCTGGTGGAAACACAGATCTTGGAACCAGCTTGCTGTGATCAAACTGTGGCTTCATCACTTCCATATGTGACATCCTATCTTCTCAGGTGTCAATCATGACACTTGCTATATGAAGGTTATTAACATTCATTTGATTGATAAATGCAAAATGCATAGGACATTATTCACATACTGCAAGAGCTAGTCATTATTATTTTCAGTAAGTTCTACTTAACTACCCACAGATACACTATAAATTTCCCAGTGAATGTTTAAATTGCATGCTTCATAGAGCCAAAGTAAATAAATAATGACATCAAACATTAATAAGTAACACTTTGCTATAACAGAATCCACATTAAAAATGTTTACTCTTTGAACACAATGTTTAATCAGTAACAGAATACTCACATAATCAGGTTTAAACAGACAAAATATATTTATATAGACCTCATGCCTTTGGAGATTAAATGTTTAAATCCTGGATTTACAGATTTCATAAATACAAGCTTTTTTTATTTCAATTTTACCAACTTTGGCTAAGAAGCTCAGAGAATATTACAAGTATTTTAATTAACTTTTGACATATGCAGTAAAACGGGAGGCAATCAGTCTATTCTTTGATGCAGATCATTCATTATTTACACTGATTTAACATGATCCCTAAGACTATACAAAATTCAAAAATGTAAAATGCCCAGAACATCATTCATACAGTGTGATTGGCCTTTGAATTTTTAGTTACATTTTCTATGTAGAATAATCATATTTTTTTCAATAATTATTAACATCTATGTCTGAAAGATGAAAACTGACACAAAGAATAAGTAGTGTTTAGTTACTGTCAAATTGCTAAACTTTGAGAGAATGCAAAATAAGTACTAACTGACATGGCATGACTGCAGTGTTCCCAACCTCAAGATTTGAATAAGGAATAAGGAATTTGAATAAGGAATCTGAAAGGGGTTGACCTGAAGAGGAGAATCTGGAACTTGAAGAAGCCTTGAGTAGAACTCTTTCGTGCATAGAGTGGTATAAAACTTCCTACACCATAAGGTCCTTAAACTATCTACAGATATTTCCAACTATTAAAAAAGTTGTTTCTTCACCACGTCTTCTGTCTTCCTGTGAACTGTAAGCTCCTTAGTATTTCAGAATCTGTAATTCTAAATGTGGAATACGATGAACCCCTTGGCAGCAAATTTTTTAAATGAAAGATAACTTTACACAAACGCAGAAAGGCACTCCTCTGACTCCATTATGTTTACCATTATGAAGTTGTCTGAATAGCGAGGGATCAAAGGAATTGTTGATGGTTCCTACACCCTCAACTTAGCCAACTACTTCCTGGGTAATGGTTTTCTTGCACAAAAACAGTTCTGCCCCTCTTTGCAACATTCTACTTTAAGAAAGAAGAAAGAAAAGGTGATGATATTGCATTTAAAATCATGATATCGACTCCATACTCTTACACTGAAGAACATGATGGTGGACGGGATACTGTTACCAAGCAATGAAGAGACCAGAGCAAAACTCTCTGTGGGCATTTAGATATATCGCAGTTAATGACCATTGTGGTAGAACCACGAGCCTGATCTCTCTTCTCCTAGAGTTTACTCTACTTTCTGTGCAACTGTGTATTGCATGACTTAGGTGAGTTGCTTGTGTTAAGAGGCACAAGACAGTCTTGTGCCACGATCATAGTTAGGTCTTCCAAAAACTGAACACAGATAATCTGAGAGCCACACCTGAAAAGGACTCAGTGGCAACTCTGTACACCATTTGTATCCCTCTAATGCCTATTAGCTCCTCTGATACATTACCTATTTACCATATATGAACTCTTTTCTGTAGTCCTTGGTTTCCATAGACCAAAACTCCAGTTTTTAAAACTATGTGAGGTCTCCAAAAACTTCTTAGAAAAATAATATTATGAAAAAAAAAATCCATGGATTTCAAAATGCATTTGCATCAAAATAAAGCATATCTTTAATTTTATTGCCCATAATGTTCTGAAAAGATTCTGGTATTTATCACATTTACTTTAACATAAGGTAAATATGGTGAAAAGTGTTTCACAGTATTTTACATAGAGACTAACTCCTACATTCTATTAGCATGAATCCAACCAGCAAACTGCCTCAGGAAATATCATTCCATGAACAAAAGCTATATTTTTAAATAAAGATCAAAAAAGATTGACAGCATTCTTGAAAGAATGTTGGCAATGTAGACATCCACCTCCATCAAATGAGCGAGGTGTAGTGGAAAGAGAATTAAAGTAGACATTAGGGTCGTAGGTCCAGAACTAGCTCTGATACTAACTTTTTTGTGACTCTTTCAAGTTTCCAAACCCTCTGTGTCAAAGCTTCTTCCCCTGTTAAAGCAGTGGTGTGAGTGAGCTGATATCTGCAGTCTCTGACAACTTCAAAGAAAAGTATTTTCCCTTAAGATAGTTTCCTGATGGAGAAATAATTTTTTCCCACTGTGCGTTTATTGCCAAAAGGCACGCTGATCTCCGTGCACTTGGAAGGGTAACTCTTTATGATGACTTTAGTATGACCAAACTCTGCAAGGCTGAAACCACACATTACATGAGGCATTGACCCTGACAAAACGTTCCTTTGTTGGGGAGATGTGAGTTCCCATTTACAGTTGTCTGTTGGGTTGAAGAGTGGTTCCTGGGATCCAATACACAACACAATAGGTCCGCTAAAATGCCAATAGCTACAAGGTACTGTTGATTGAATTGTTATTTGTCTCACAGTCTTTCTCAGGGGGCTCTTCAAATGCCTAACAATCCGAAATAAAGCCATCTGTCCTTTTCTAATTCATGAAGCCCATGGTATTAGTGAAAAATTTAAATAGAGCTAGGAATTCAGCCCCCAGGAACACTTGAACATGAATAACCACTCTAAGAATTGATTCCACAGGTATTTCATTTATTGTTTATGGCACAAATTCATGTCTTAAGCCCCTTTGCACTTCTGAGATGACATATACATTCCTGCCAAGAAATCTAATGTGGAAAAGAACTACACAAATGCAAGAGAACTAGCTTAGTGAGAAAATATTAATTTGCATTGTAGCATTCATCCTTGAAATGGGCAAAGGGTGGTTATTGACAATAGAAAACAAATTTGGAGAAGAAGAGAATAGTAGGGAAATGACAAAACAGAATTAAACAATCACTGTTCAAAGAAATGGAAAGTTAATATCTAAGCAATATAAAATTGATATTTTTAACAAAGAAGTAGCATGATGAGGAACTGGTATATATATACATATGTTAATATGATAAATCATATATAGTTTATTACTGAGTCTCTCAAAACTATGAAGAATCAAGGAAATGGCAAAGTCAGAACATTTTGAAACAAAATTAAATAGGCATATCTTAATTATCTAAAATATAATTGCAATGAAAACTGTGTACATCAGAGGTATAAGAGTAAAACATGAAGCATTTTCTCATCTGAGTATTAATTTGAAAAAAGCATTCATATTCTGAGTTTTCTGAGAAAGAAAAATGGATGGCCGTGCCCTCAGAAGTGAAGTAGAGAAAGTGGATGATTTAGCCTAGAGCCATCCCAGCAAAAGAATGCTGGATCAGGTATCATAATTTACATATCTGAGACAGTAGAGTGGTTGGAGGAAAATGAGGTCAGTGAGTGGAACCTTTAGGGAGTAAGATACATTATGGCCCGTTGGCCATGATGCCATGATGGCTTACTCCAAAGTGGCCACAGTTCATTAAACAAGTGCTATTATTGATGCCAGTGTTCCTTTTTTTTCCGCTTAAATGAAAGCAACAACAGGACCTTGAGCCAGTGTCTCATATCAATCAACCCAAATCCCCCTTTTCTCCATAGCTTCTTGAGCGCCTCCAAGGTCTTTCCTGTGGTGAGCTGGGCTCTTTTCACACACCAAATGCACGTACAAGGATCATCAATCTTGGTTCTCCATCTGCTAAGAAAGAATATCCCTTGTATTGCTTAAACCACTGAGTTTTTAAATAGTTTTAGGCCATATTTTTTTCCACACTCTTTGGCTGGTGGGTATGCTTTCTTTTCCTGCAGAAATCAAAAATATCCACTTATGAGAAGATGTGGGCTTTTATGAGCAGCCGACAGCAGACCGCCCTGGTTAAAAACAGTGACGAAGGAATACAGAGAGTGCTCACCACAGACTATGCCTTGCTGATGGAGTCCACCAGCATTGAGTATGTTACACAGAGGAACTGCAACCTCACTCAGATCGGGGGCCTCATTGACTCCAAAGGTTATGGAGTGGGAACACCTATCGGTAAGAGGGTCAAGGCATTAGCCAAGACTGAGATGTGTATCGCAATTTGGAAGCAAATGGGCTGAAAGTTCTCTATTGCACAGTCTGAGAAGGTATGCCATGTGTTAAGTGGACTCAGAATTAATGAGAATGTCTACAGAGATCAGAGGCATGGTCTGAACTGGAGATTCTCAGATATTTAGCCTAATAAATTCTTTCCACCTGTATTTCTTTCAAGTTTTTCTGCCATATGACAATTTAAGAAAACATATATATCCATTATTTTATCCCAAACAGGTATCTTAAAGAGAACATCTTCCCAATTAATCTACTTTATAGAGTTGTCTTCAATCTCTATATACAAGGTATCTTTAAAAGGTTCTTTGAAAAGGTGTATTATTAAAAATTTTGTGTGAATTTCATTTTTAAGATTCATTTATTTGGAAGACATGAGAAATGAAAGTGGAAAGACAGAGAGTGAGGGAGAGTTGTGTTACATTTAGTGTTTCACTCCCTAATGCCCACAATTGCTACACTTGAAGCCAAAAGTCCCGATCTTAATTTAGGTCTCTCCCATATGTGGAAGCGACTCAAGCAATACCTGTCCAAGTGCATATTAGCAGAAAGATAGAATCAGAAGCAAAGATGCTGGGACTCAAAGCCAGGTACACTAATAGGAACTTACAGGGATGCCAAGAATCATCGAAGGCACTGCACTAAAAGCTTAAAAATAAACATTTTAAATCCATTTTCATCCACTCTATGAAGTGCTCTAATCGGTTTATATAATTTTATATCTTAAAATATAATATAACACAAAAATTAATCCTGTATGAACATGACAAAAGTTAGGGGGCTAATGTTTCATGCCAATAAGTGGGAAAGTATCGTAAGGTTTTCCAAAATACAGAAGTTAAACTATAATTTGCTGAAGCAAGGTGCTAGACTCCATCAATGGTAACTTTCTAAAACCTTGAAATACTTTTATTATTGGCTCAGTAGCACTGTTTTCTGGAGATATGATTGCCTTGTGGGACGACGTAGCGATAGAATTGTGCCTTCTCACACGACAGTAATAAGTATGAGTAAAATCATTCACCTTCAGGGGAGATTACCATTTTCATCTCCATGGACAATTGGCTTTGTGCTGTTTCCCTATCTATAGAAAAGTGCAATGAAAAAGAATCTGTCTGACGCCAGCGTGCTCCTCTGAAGTGAGTAATGCGTCAGTTCTCTAAAGCAGGTCTCACCCAACACCACGGAACATGGGCCAGTCAAGCTGAAATACTAGTTATGGTCCAGCCAGATGATGAAGAGTTCAAAGCAGATTTGACTTCCTTGTTTGTGTTGTCATTCTTGTTTGGAAGGGACTATTGATGAGCAAAGTTAGGAAGGCCCCGGAGTGCTTACAAATGTCAAGCAGATATCAAAAGTGAACAAAACTTGCTTATGCGAGGAGGCAGATGCGAAGTGTTGCAGTTTCAGAGCACTAGAGATGGTGTGGTCATTAAAAGCACAGCTAACTTTCAGGTCAGTCAATTTTAAAATGCAATTTTGTCAGATGTTTTATTTTCCAATGAAAGGACTGAATTCAGGTTTTAAATATCCTGTACTCAAATGACAATTTGTCAACAAACTCGGGCTTTTAAAAAAGACTGTGTATCAATTAACCAAATAAAGGCCAACTCTCCTCAAAAATCTATCTTTATGATAAAACCAATTTGATTCCCTGTATCTACCTAGAATTAGATACACATGATCCACAAAAATTAGCTTTATCTATATCATTATTCACATCCTGTATGTCCTCTAAATAAATCCACAAACTGCTTGAATTATCCATAAGAACCTTATTATTATTTTAACTTTTCTGATAGAAAAGATATTGTTATTAAAGTGTCTATTTTAACCTAATGGTTAAGCTAGCTTTATAATTTAGTCACATGTTCTCTTAGGGACGAGACTCAAAGGGATATTCAGACACTAAATTATGGCATGTTGTGTCGCTTTTGGCTTTATAAACAAGTCTGCTGCTTTCTAATGACAGTGATATGAATTAGATATAGTTATTTGATATCTCAACACTTTCTGACTTCAGGTGAATGGGGCCACAAGTCAACCCAGAACACCAGCATGGGTGCCGTGGTTTGGATCATCACAGAATCAAAATCACAGTCTTGATTGCAAATTATTTTTGCATCTTCTTGAAGGAGCAAATCTAATGTCTTAGTAGAACCACTTTAAACTAAATTATAAAATAAAAATCTTTTTTCTTGCCATCCCAGGCCATAACCCCTCTCTTTCATTTATTTCTTTGGATTATGTTTTCTTTGAGACAGAAGCAGAGGAATAAAGCGAGTAGACACCAGCACACATGCATACAAAGAAGAGAGAGGAAGAGATGAACCTTATCACATTCACTGCTTCATTCCCAAACATCCTCAAAGATCAACATTGGGCTGAAGCCACATCAGGATTCAGGAACACAACTCAAGTCTAATACACAAAGCAGCGACCCAATCATTTGAACCATAATTGATGAAACCTAGGATCTAAATTAGCAAGAAGCTAGAGTCAGGAAGTGAACCCAGGCATCCCAATTGGTACGCACACACAGAAACTAGAATCTTCCTCTGCCAGGCAAAATCCCTTCCATAGTCCTCTTTGTCATGGGATTGACAGTAATGCTTACAGAAGTGCGTCATTTCTCTTGAGAACAAGTGCACATTGGCAAGTCAGTGTTTATCCAGAATGCCTCCTACAGGATGGAATTTAGCTCAAAAGCTAAAATTTCTGATAGTACAGTGAGATACATGATTGGACTGGTAGGGGGAGATCTGAATGTACCTCTTCAAAGGAGTAGTTCATCCACAATAAGTTTAAAAGTGGAAGAGCCTGCCTCCTTCTCTAGGTGAGAAGAAATATACTCCAGGAATTTTTCATAGCCATTATAAACCTGTCATGCTTTTAAAGCACAAACAATGAAGTTATAATTGGAACAGATGGTAGACCTCAGAGAAAATACATCTAATGAGAATATAGCTGTTGAAAAAAAAGTATGACTTTTTTTCACGAATTGACTCTTTAAAAAAAATTAGATGCTGTAAGAAACACATCAGGAAGCTTTGTTTGTACACATGGATATTTGTCAAGTAACTTGCAATGAATCAACACCAATGCAAGAATACCCAACTAAACTACATGCAGATATAAAAATATTCTTCACCTATTCCTGGTTTGACCGAGTGATGTTCCTTGACACCATATCCAAGACTGAAGATTGAGTTAGTCACAACACAGCATTGAAGACTTTGCTTCTTGTAAGTTCTCAGGACAGAAGCTCTGGAAATGTGTCTCCTGGGAGAGTTAAAACAAAACTTCAAAAAAATGAGAGCAATTGCGGCTCAAGCAAGTTACCAGGAGGCTGGAAATTACCTTCTTGGGTAAACAGAGGTTGGATCTCCACCTGTTTGAAATGTGAAGCCTGGAGTGAGAAAAAAATCAGTGATCAATTACTGAGTACCCACTATGCACCCTGCTAGGATCACTGCCCCAATCTCTATGTAGGAATCAAACCAGCCCTCTTCAAACCATTTTCAGGTACACTAAAGCAAAGCATTCTGGTTCACTGAACTGGGCCCAGGCTGTGGGTATAACGGTGCTAATATTGACATTAGTCATGATTCTGGAGCTATGTAAGCAAAGAGCCAATATTTTGTAATTTTACTTTCAAGATGCATTTTTCTCGCTCAAAATCTGTGCTCTTATTTGACAATTCATTACCTCCCCAAAATATTTTTCCAGTGCTGTTAAATTTGGAGTGGTGAACAACTGTTTTAGGAAACCTCAGAAAAAAATATCAGCACATTTTCTCACTTTTTAACAAGATCTGCTTACTTACTTGAAAGTAAAGGTTAAACAAAGAAAGGGAGACACACAGAGACATAGAGAAAGAGACAGGGAGACAGAGACAGACAGGCAGAGACAAACACAGAGCTTACTATCTTCTGAGAGAATAGAGAGAGTAATATCACAGAGTGAGGATTTATAACAATGAAGGCAATGAGGGCGTTGTTCACACAGTGTGATTCAGGGAAGCAACATTTACGACTAAATAGTAATTGAGATAACATCTACACACTGTTCATATTCCACCTGTTTGGTTCCACAAAAAAGAAAGAATGGGAAACATGTCTTTTTCAATCTAGTTCATTTCACTTAGTATAATGATCTTCAGTTCCATCTATTTTATGGAAAATGTCAGGATTTTCATTGTTTTTTTATGACTAGGTAATATTCTTCTTGTCCTAGCATGCCAATTTTTTCTTTAATTGTTTCTATAAAGAAAGATTTTAAAGTCTGTACAGAACTAGAATGCACTCATTTCCCCAAAGGATACGTGTGTGCGTGCTCATGTTTGTGTGTGTGTGTAGCGTAAGAAATTCAGTATTGAAAATATTTCTTTATAGCTAGATGCTGAGTCCCATCCACTCCCCATTAAGCTCCCTGCTTGTGCTCTAGAAAAGCAACGTAAGATAGCTGATGTCCTTGGACCCTTGGACCCACAAAGGGGACCCAGAGGAAACTCTTGGTTCCTAGCTTCAAATTTACTCAGTTCCAGTTATTGCAGTCACTTGGGAAGTGAATTAATGAATGGAAGATCTCTCTCTCTCTAACTCTGACTTTCGAGATAAATAAATAAACCTTTAAAATTATGTATCAAAAAAAAAAATTATGTATCGAAAAAGAAAGTCTGCATATTTTCCAAATCCAACCATATACTCCAAACCTAATCAGATTGTGAATAATTTAAAAAACAACTCTTAAATCTGTCTTAATTGACGCATTAGTCACTGTGGATTAACAACTAAAACCAATGCCTACGAATTTTCAGTGGTTTACAAAAGCGTTTCTTTCACAGTCCATTATTTAAAATTTCACGGTCCTCATTAAAAATGAGGATCTGCTTCACAGACATCCTCAAATTGTTTCATTTAACTTTGTGGTTCCACCACCTCTAGCAACTGAAATGCTTTCTTGATTGATTGATTGATTTGAAAAGAGGGAATATTTGGGAAGATTTGACACAGGGCCACTTCCCATTGGTTAGCAACCATGCACATGACCACACAGACCTGTGATACTGGGAAATGTCTGTTGAGTTCCCTAGGAAGAATACAAAGTGATATGGGTGGTCATCAAGCCATATTCAGTCATAAAATGAGACTACCAAGAGCCCAGGCAACAGCAGCCTCTGCTAACCTTACAAAAAAAAAAAATTCCTAAGAGATAGGGAGGGTGGGGAAACCAAAGAAAACTTACTAGAAACAGATATGTGACAAAATTTTTAGTTTAGCTTTTTTCTTATTTAAAAGGAGTAGCCACGTACACCACCTTTCACTTATTCCCTTTTAAATCATTTAGTCTTCAGCACATAGGATTGAATCTTTCTGTCCTTTGTTAGTCCATTTGAGACTAGGAGTTTCACAGCAGTCATAATGTAGTTACCACTAATAACACATGCTTTTCAACATCTTCTTCAGCATTTCAGTGATCAATGTCCAAACAATTTCACTTCACAGGCTCTCCTTACCGGGATAAAATCACGATTGCTATTCTTCAACTACAAGAAGAAGGCAAGCTGCATATGATGAAAGAGAAATGGTGGCGGGGAAATGGCTGCCCCGAGGAAGAGAGTAAGGAGGCCAGTGCCCTGGGAGTGGAAAACATTGGGGGCATCTTCATTGTCCTGGCCGCCGGGCTGGTCCTTTCCGTCTTTGTAGCCATTGGAGAATTTATATACAAATCACGGAAAAACAATGACATTGAGCAGGTGAGTGATCACTTCCTAGAGCCGGGGTGGTTTGGGTTCTTATTATCTGCGTTAAGCTTCAAGTTATTTAAGATGTTTACTTGTTTTTCTTTTCTTTTCTTTTCTTTTTAACAATCTGTTGAATTAGATGCCCAGAAGAGCCATTTTTGAGGTAGAGCAAAGTGCTATTGAATCCCTGCCAGGTGCTGCTGGCACAGCAGCTCCATCATTTATTAATGAGAAGAAGGAAGAGCTTTATACACTAAATCCAATTAGTGCTATTTGGAGTGACAGTGCAGAAATTCCAAACCCAGTTAATTTCTTTGAACAGCTATTTGCTCTTAAGATCGAAATCCTTCCATAGAATAAGGAAGCAATAAATCCAAAATTGGAAAAGATATAAAAAGATAGTGGAGAGAAATGTTACCAGTTCTTGGGTATATATTTGAGACAGATGTACAAAATAATTTGTATGAAAATGTAAATGTAGTATTTGAAATTTAGTATTTCTTTGTATCAAAATACCATTTACAAAAGGATACTTTACCCAAAAAATTGTCACAAATATGGTAAAAAGTACAAAAACAATAAGATGTATTTGAGACTTTATTTTTCAAAATCATATTTAGGATTATAGGATGATTTCAATGGCCAACTATTTTGTGTATTTTTTTTGTAATAATTCACACTAGGGGCTCACTTTTCTGAAAAGATATTTGTTACACGATTTCTTCATAAATGTGTTAGGATACGCAAACTAAAAAGCTCCTGGCCATTGTGCTGCGTTAGATCATCCATTTAATTTGAACAAATTGTTGGAATTTAAGTTACTAATAATAGAGTAGTACAATTCCCTGCTGAAAACATCATGAAATATTTGATAATTTTTAGCAAGGAGTTTCAGATTTTCATTTTATGCTGGGCCCTGCAAATTCTGCGGTTCATTCTAATAATATGCTGTTGGACGCACTTTGTTTAAGTGGAAGCTTTCAATAAACACCTAAAAATTGAGCATCATTCATTATAATCTTTTTTATCAGAAAATCTTGCCCAGGCTTACAAAACAACCATGAGAACCTTGAGCATCCTTTTCTTAGATCTTGTCATAGAAAACTACCTTTAATTAAAAGGGAGAATGGGCTGGTCTGCTTTGCTTTGACATTATATTTGCTCTTGAAGTATATTGTTTTATGCAACTAATTTGAAAAATAGAAGCTTGTATATATTATGCTTGAATGTGCTTCTCATAATTGTCAACTTCATTTGATTTAGAATTTCATTTAAAACATTTATCCTTGCTTCTTATTTATTCATTTTTTTCTCTATTTTTTTCTCATTTCTTTTGCATGCAAGGCTTTTTGTTTCTTTTATGGACTGCAGTCTAAGCAAACCCATCCAACCAACTCCACTTCTGGAACCACTTTATCTACGGATTTAGAATGTGGCAAATTAATTCGAGAGGAGAGAGGGATTCGGACACAGTCCTCAGTTCATACTGTGTAATCAGTTTTTTTTTTTAAAAAAAAGTGTGTCCAGTAGAAATTGTTTCTGCTCATTAGTGTTGTGATGCTGTTTGTCTCCACGAAGCGCAGATGACCCTCATTCCCTATCCCTTCAGAATAGCAAAGTTCACATTATCCAAACTTTGAATTCAAGGCCCTGGAAGTTGATATGCACTGTGTGTTGACATAGGGACACATTCCACATACTCCTAAATATGTGTATTCATAGGAATCAACTCTGTCCTAAAAAGACATCTTAGTTCTATCTTCATGCATTAAAAATGAGGTCCTCTTTCCTGTAACAAAAGCAGATTCAGACTGTGAACTGTGCGAAGCATGAAAATCAAAAGCTAATTTTTGTGGACTTTCATGTTTGTGAACTTCCCCCCTCACACCCTTCTTTCTTCCTTCACCCTGTCACATACTTTGTGAAGATCTATTTATTTTAAATTACCCAAAGTCTGTAACTTTTCAGTACGTATGGACATAGCTCTATAACAATGTTAATTCTTCATTCAAATTCATTCTACTGTTTATACAAAGACTCAAAGACATCTTGGATTTCATGGAATTATAAATCATAATCCAGAAAAAGAAAAACTCAACTCTAGGCTTTTGGTGTCGACTCAGAAAGGCAACGCCTGAGGTCAGCGTCACTCAGGGACACCCAGCACAGTTAGGAATCACTCCTGGGCAGATTACATTGATGTCTAGGCTTCAAACAGTTGTTGGTATAATTAAACAATCTTCTGGAGGTTCAGTCTCTAAGAAACAGTAGTTTGTTTTTTGGTTTTTGGTTTTTTTTCCGAGCTATATGTTACTTTCCTGAAGAGCTAAGCAAACGCCAAAGCTGTGAACTATCCCACTACATCTATGGAACACACTTTCGTTCATGGCCCTGGCAATGTCTTTCATGAGATACTATTTCCTGCCCACTCACCCAGAATAGAGTAGTGGTTTGGGGGGACAATCTTTCATCGGCATAGCCACATTTACCCTCCTTTCTCTGAACTCATCATGATTATTAATTCATTCCAAGTGTGCTGCAGAGAAGGGCAAGAAGGAGAAAATAAATAGAGGAAAGAATTTCCATACACATTAGTTATAGACCTTTATAGATTTATTTCCCACCTGCATTCAACATGCTGTAAATAATTCCCACACTAACTCAACTTGGTGACACAGAAAGCCAATTGCATATTTAATTTGTTGTGACAGAGAATGTCTGCTGGTCCCTCTGGGCTTGTTTCTCCTTCACAATGAGCAGGGGCATTGAAGATGTCTTTCATTTTCCCTCAGTATGGGATCATGAGGTCTTTGTTCTCGTTAATGGGATTACCTGACACCATAGGGCTGATTCCCTACAATACAATCCTCAGAAGTGGAGACATGCTGTCTGTGTGATTCTGTGGCACTGCCTTCTCTTGCTTGGTTTTAAGTGATCTCCATTTTTTCCACCTTAAGTCTCTCCAATCTACCCTCTATTTCTCCAGTAACACATGTTCAGCAAAGTTGACCCTTGCCTTGATTCGTCATGGTCTTTTATGATTTCGTATGAAAAGATCTATAAATTGGACTGACATTTATTTACTGTTATTGTAGTAGAAACAGCCCACTGTCCTTCTCAGGTTAGAACTCACACTTCTGTTACTATTCACTTAATAGATTGGAAAATCACATTCTTACATTATTCTTAGCTTTGCATTTCATCGGTTCAATGAAACCACAAGCAACACAATTACATTTGTCCTAGAACAATTTAATGAATCAAAAACACTACCAAAATGTCCAAGTGCTCCTGGGTGATTGATGATATACAGACCATCAGAATTAACAATAACTAACAAAAAATGCCATTCTGCAGATGTCATCTTTGAAAAGTATAATCAAAATACTCAGTAAAAAAAAAAGCCTCATCCAAAACTCAATATTCACATACAAATTTGGACTGTATAGAATATTATTTGCTATTTTATGGCAGCCAAAATGCTTTCACATATAGGATACAAATTCCTTATATGGCATATAAATACGTTGATGATTTCAGTAATTTAATTCAAATTCACTAATACAGAAATAACTATGTCTAAGAAGAGACTTTCCTAAATCATCCATACTTCAACAAGCTGTAGTTCAAACATTGCTGAATTCCTCAGAGCTTGGATTTCTCAGCAAGTTATACTATGACATCATTTCTGGAAGGTAAAATTGTTCTGAAGGAATATTTAAACTGCATTTGGTAATCAGTGTTTCTCAAGTTTTTCACAGTTCAATAATGACAGAGCATAACATTGAGCATCCTTTACTGCATGGTACCCCCATGTGTTTGTCACATTAGAGATTTTAGTCAAGGCCAAAGAGATGTCAACATTTCTCAATCCAATTAGATCACTTAGCCCCCCTCTTTCTAAAGCATCTAGACACTTTTGGGGTTCTGCAGGTCTTCCTCCCGAGAATGCTCACATGATCATGTGCATCTCATGTTGCGAGAATATACATATAGCTAACACCATGCCTGGCACAAGACACCTATGCAGGAAATGAAATTTACTCTTTGGAGAAAAAAATTTAATCCTTCTGACCAAAGATACAGTTTGGTTGAGAAAGCAAGTTTACCAATGTAGACTTTCAAATTCTTTCTCTAACATAACTTTTCCTTGCAGAAGCATTAAAAAATCAATGGTAAGGTCACTACGGCCAAGAAAATGACTCAAATTGGCAACATTTTAGAATCTGTGCCAGAGATTCTGGACTTCATTTCTAGAAGTTCCAACGTAACTAGCTGGGTTGGGAAAATAGTAGAGACTCCTTCTTTTCTACATTCACTCTAATGTGTCGAAGGACTGAGAACCAATAACATAGTCCTAGATTTATGAATACAGTTGGCACCCAACAAATCATTGCTGTTATATTAATGCATTACTACTAAATGTAGAACAATTATTTCCAAGTAATATATACATATGTGTGTACATATATATATATATATAAAATACACATTTAACCTTTAATGCTCAATGGATTTCATGGAAAATTCACAAATAAATTGTATAACCTCTAGATAGAAATTTCATGATATTCAATTGATAATCGTCATGTTTAGTTCTGAAACATAGGATTAACCCTAACTCAGAATTATCAAATGTATTTTGTTGTTCTCCCTCCCCTCACCTACTCCCTTGAGTAGCCTCGATTAGTTCCTGTTACCTAGGTTGTTTATACTCTCCTTTTTTTCCTTATATTTTATTTCTCAGAAAAAAAAAAATCTTTGCTATAATATAAACGACTAACAAAATGGCACAGACTTCTCTCTCCTGTCCCAGGGGTTATTTTCAAGAAATTTTAGGAGAAAAAAGTTTCAAATACAAAAGAAAAAAATTTCATATTCTGTCCATATCATTCTGTTCTCAGATATTGGTATAAATCAGGACCCCTTGCTTCTACCTTTCAGACCTTCTCACTTCATGCAGTCTACAAATCTACATTTTTAATAAAGCAGCGAAAACTGTTCACAACACATCAGTTTTCACAAAAATTAACATGAATGTTTTCACCCAAATTAGGTCATACACTCCTCAGCCTTTCTTAAAACTATGTTTACCATACCATTTTTTTAAAGTTTTTGTTTTCACGTTGTTTTCCCCCCAACAATCAGAAGTGCTGCTATTGCTTTTCTTAAAAAGAGTTGCAAAACATGAATTTTCATTTAAATTACATTGAAATAATGGTTTTACTTTAAATTTTAAGGTAAACATGAATTTTTATTAAACAGCATCAGATCATCTATGGATTAACCTTTGCAAAAATATTATTTAAGGTTAGAAAAAGAGCAAGCAAGTTATTAAGAGACCAGGTAATAAACTGCACCTGCTTTACTTTGTGTCCTGTAAGTCTGCCTTTAATGTGACAGGGGAAAACATAAGCTTTATGTTGTGCCTTTATTTCAGAAATAAGTTATAGACTGGATTACCGTAGAGTTGCTCCACAAACCGGAGCTACCTAAGGAATAAATGGTGACTGGGAATCTTGTTAGGAAAATAAAATCAGTGATATGATTATGGACCTATCCAAGGAGAATTATGCCCAAAAAATTCACCGCATTTGAATGAAATTGAGTTGGGTCCCACATGAGCCACCTTTCCTAAGCAATATCACAATAATTCCAATTAGTTTTCAAGTACATGACCCTTACACTACAAAGTTCATTTCATATTAAGCAATTTTAAAAATCTGTATCAGCCTTCAAAAGCAAATGGACAGCAGAGTATTCATATGTGCTGTGCTAAAATCTGCCCATCTAACACTACCGAATGGCATTAATAATTTGCTCATATAGATAATGAAAAATTTCTGCGTGATGTTGCAGTTTTACTTGCCTTTAGGAACCATCTCATTATGCTCCTCACAGTTATGGAACTTTATGTGCAGGTGTGTAAGCATATTAAAATTACTTTTGCTTTCAAACAAAGATTGGTGTCATGGAAAAGTGGAATCTTGCTCAAAATTTCAAATTATTTCTATCTGAAAACATAAAGGCATTCTTAAGACAGAAAGTTAATATATCGGATTCATTGTGTGCATTTGCACCATGAAGAATATGAACTTTGTTGTTATCAATCCAAATATAGCTAATGAACTAAATATACAACTTGTGCCCTTGTCCCAACACAAATAGAAAAGAAAATAGTGAGGTCTAAAAGATGCAATGAAGTTACCATATTTCCTCTTAGCCATTAACAAAGCTAACTTAACCAGAATTGTCTCTCTTCAATTTTTAACCAGATGGGGGTGTGCAGACATAGAAGGTTCAAATATTCAGATTTATCTTCACTAAAAAAAGGCTTCTCTGTTCAGTGTTCGACAACCTTAAGTACTAAAAAAAAAAAAAAAAAAAAAACACTGTTTGTAAATAATTTGCCCAAAGGCAGCATACGTTCAGGTGCTTGAGGGATCTGCAGCTCCACTTCTGTGGTCTGATGCACTTATTTGGCAGGTGACAAGCAGAAAT